TATGGCATAAATCTGAATATCTGATTTTGTTATGCGATATGAAATGGCTCCAAGTGTAATCTCATCTTCCTCTTACAGATCTTAGATTTTGTTCCTATCCTTGCACATCTCTACTTCCAAGAAAAGCTTCCGGTCACATTGTCATATGTTCAGGCTTCTGTGTTACTCTGCATTGGTCTACAGAATCAGAACATTTCGTACATTGAGGTGTGTTTCTCAACCTACTGATTTCTGAATCCTACTGCCAGATATGATCTAGAAGAGTTCTAGATTTTCCTGAGTCTGAAGTTTTGGTCAGTTACCATGACTTACAGCTATATAGTTGGAGTAAATGAGTCACTCTGTAACTGATTGCTTGATTTGGTCTGTGTTAGAAATTCATAGTCTCGAGTGATATTAAAGCAGTTTCATCTACTAATCAAACATTTAAAGATAAAATTGTGTTCTCTTACAGGCACAAACGAAGTTGGAAAGACAACAAATATTGTCTCTCTTCATAAAAGTTATGAAGAAGTTCTACAAATATCTACACGGCCTTGAATCCAAGGAGGTCGGGTCAACGTTGCCACGACTGAAAGAAGTAAGTTAACTGATAGTGGTATACTATAGCATTTGGTATAGAGCATAATAATATCGTGTGATCTATGTAGCTGATTTTATTTAAAGGAATAATGTCTACTATTGTTGTTGATACAACTATAGCAAGACTTCTATTTAAGGGGGAAAAACATATATAGCATGACTTTACATGGGATGATGCTTTTAGCTGGCACAGGTGGCAAGGTTTTGATGAGTGCCTTCCCTGCATTTGTACTTGTTTCTACAATTGTCTTGATCCCCATTTCATGTCCATGTGCATTTATACTTATTTTGCACCTCTCTTTTTAACGAAGATTTTTTTTTATCTTTGTCCTTAGATTGTCATGGAACCCCATAGTGTTTCTGTCGACGAAGATCTTAACAATGCAGCTAAACAAGTCGAGGTAGATTCCTTCACACTCTTTTTCTCCCAGTCTAAGATTTTAACACCCATCTTTGTTTCCAAGTAGCTCTAACTTTGCATGATTACTTTTATAGGACGACATGAAGTCAAAATCAGAAGCAATCTTCACTCCTGAATTACTCCAACGTTATGCTATTGCAGACGAGGAAGCTGATCTTGAGAATGCTTTGCAAAATAATGATGGAAAATTACCCACAGGTGGGCTAATTAGTGTAAAATCCAGCAGGAGTGACATAAAGCCTGAAAAGGAAAAGGGGAGTCATAAGAGTGACAAGAGACGGAGTAAAGATAGGCATGACAAATCTAGCAAAAGAAAAGAACTTGAATATGAGATGGAGCCAAAACCATATGATTACAGGATTAAATGGCACGGAACACCGAACTTTTTGATCCAAATATAGATCTCACTGATAATTTTTGATACTTTCCCTGCAAAAACGGAGGAAAATGATACCAGGAGGCATCAGATAATGGATTGGATTTGCCCGTTTTGGTCTTCAGAGTAGAGAGGAATCATTTGTTTATTTCAAGAGCTGATGTCTTGTGTCTTTTTGTTCGTTGTACTGGGAAATTGACCAATATTAAGGCGTAGTTGGTATTGAAATTTTGATGCGACCCCTCAGAGATCCAAATTTTGATTTTTTTTTTTTCAGTATTGTATTTCTTTTAGCAACGGGCACGCGACTGCAAAACTAGTGTTGAGCTTAAGTTAATTCATATATCTATAGTGGTCTGCGAGACTATTGTTATGACTATCGTCGCTATAAACGTTGTTGAAAGCCTACAAATGAAAAGGATGTGAAGCCGACATGTTGCCCATATTGCTATTATTGCTCATATAAGATAAATCATATTCCAATAACCTTCCTCGTCACTTGTGTTTAAGTACACGAGATATGATCATCAATGACATTATCAGCTTCATGTCTACTAAGAGGACAAGTATTGTTGCTTTACCCGCGGGTTATTTTCTATTCCGAGCGTCCCAGTTTGATATTAGCCTTCTAATTGAGCCGCTCGTTCTGAGCTTAGAGCAATTCTTTGAATCGATGGATCCTCTGATATCTAGTTATTCGGCAAATGGCCCCACTAATTATAAGATTATAACTAAGTATGCAACTCCTAGGGAAGAGAAGGATGAGAATATTAATCAATCATGCCAAAGTCTTGACAAAATTATATCACTAGACGGGAACCGAATTTGGATCCCTAATTGAGATTATAGAATGTAATCTTGAACCCTCTGGAATTCCCAAGGGAGGATCTATGCATGAACAATTGTCAACGAAGAAAAGCTCCCACTCTTTAATTCCACATTTTTCTAATGCAACAACTATTCTTTCCCTCGCTGTGTCATGTGGATATGCACCATCTGGACTAACAAGAACTGCCCCTGTATAAGATTGGCCTGCAACTCGAGCAGCCCCATGATAATGGAACAAACCCCAACTAAGATCATCAGCTACATCCACGATTGTCCAAAACTCATTTGACACAACTCCATTATCCAGTACACTGAAATAGAATGTCCCAGGTATCTTGCCTCTTTTAACCCTATATTTTCGCCGCCTCCAAACCAACTGACCCTCTAATGTTCTCACCTGGAAAACTGGTTCATACCAGAATGATCCTTTTGCCTTTCCCCTGTAGAATAGCTGGTACTGGCATGGGAATTGATCATATGCTGGGTTTTGCCCTGCTATAACACGCCAACTCCATTCCAAATTCCCCAACCAACCAACAAATAGATCCTCAGACATGTCGTGACATAAGCTCTTACCCCGAAATTCAACCATTGGAGGCACATGAGGTTTGTCAGGGATTTTTGCATCCAACTCTAGACAGTTGTTTTTCTGTAATACACAAAGTGAAAATGCCTCTAGAGTGGGACTTTCATATGAAGCAATACAACGATAATTACATACTTGGTCTACAGGACTGCATTTATTTAAGCATTGAAGAGCTTTTCTACAATTGGGATCCAACAAGCAGTTAAGTATCTCCCGACCACAATTCTTTACCATGCAGTTCAAGGTAGAAAAACCCTTTGCTCTCAAGTTCTTCAATATTGGAACCGGCTTTATGTAAGCATTGATGATTACCAACAAACAGAACCTTATATCATCAGAATTATGTCTATCCCATGCTTCAGATACAGTCTGCACCACTCTAGATGACTCTCCTGTTTTATCTAATTGAGAATTTCCAACCATTTTGCCAAATATACTTCCTTTAACATCATTATGAATATAACAGCCTCCTAATTTGTTCTCTATATCTGGTGAAGAGTCAAAGCATATTACGTTTGGGACATCTTTGCTATTTATCTTAATCCACTGAATTGACTCTTTATTTGCAACAGAAACAATCGCCAATATATCAGTTTGAAGTAATTCCCTCTTGAGTCTCATGGTCTGATCTCCATCAGAATTCGATCGAATGCATTCATCAGTAAACACAAGAAGTTCATACCCTTCGTCAACCCATTTTAATCTTTTTGCCTGCTATGATAAGAAAGGTCAGTTAGTGGTCCTGATCCGACCTAATAAAATTAATCCAACTATTTATATGACAAAAATACCTTTATAAACATACTACATGTGCTGCAAAATTATCCGTGCGAGGGAAATTAGATATTTCATTCATTAAGATCTGAAACACATTCTAGCTGAAGCCGAGATCATCAGTTATTTTTTCTTTCTTTCTTTCTTTCTTTTTCCCAATTCAACATCTTCTCCATCGTAGATATGAACTTATTGGTCAGGACTCAAGAAATTATTGATCAATATATACACTCATATACAGCAGTAATACTTTTCGCAATTTGAACATTTTTAGCATCAGTCAATTTTCTACACATAAGCAAATAGATATCATGCATTCAGGTGAACAAAAACAACAAAAGAAGACGAATAAGAGTAAAAGAATTTCTGGCCAAAACCGAGGCTACTTAACAGTGTGAAGCATGACTTCTTCCCAGGATGCAGAATTCAGAGGACTCACAGCTCCTTCACCCACCAGAGCAATCATCTTCACTGGAGGTTCAGGAGGAGGCTCAGCCGTCACCGCCTTATTTGCCGTCGAAACCGCCAGTAAGGCCGGAGACAGACGAGGAAAGGGTGTAGGCGGATGAACAGAGAATGAGCGAGAAAATTTTGAGGCTCCATGGGGAGAAGGATGAGGGGATGAGATTAAGGAGAAGCGAGAAGTAGGGTTTTGATGGAAACCGATGCCATGAAAGGGCGCGAGAAGTCGTGGAACTTCCAGAGACATGAAAACAGCACCTTCTTCAAACGGTAATTGGCGATGCTATAGGTGTAGAGCCTTTTATACCCTTCCCCTTACTCCTTAAATAAGTAGAAGCTCCTTTTGCTTCTTTTTTTAAATTTTTTTTAATACTATAATATAAAAATGCATGTCGGTTAAATTTTGGAACTTACCAAAATGAGGATACGCTTTAAGGAAACTTCTCTACAAATTTATTTTTTGTGTATATAACATTTTAGATTTTAAATTTTATGTACATCATTTTACATTTTAATTTATGAACAAATAATTTTAATGAATGTCATCCGTTAACAAAATAATACATTAATTATCAATAGAAAATCATCTGTAGAAATTTAGAAGACAAATTAGAAACACAAAAATATTATTGTAATTTATCCCAATTTATATCTCTCGTCTATTCATATTCCATATTAATTAATCTTTTAAGGATTGCATTCTAACTCATTAATTACAAGGCGAGATTTATTTCTTTGATTTCATGTTAGAGAAAGAATTAATATGAGAGACAAACATATTTTAATAAATAAATTGTGTATTTGATTCTATTTTATTTCACAAGAATTGAAGTGGAAAACCATTTCGTTTCACAACTTTCAATTTGAAAAAATGAAAAAGACAACCGTCGAAGGCCGTTGCCACCAAAATTGCCAACGCCCGCATGCCTCCGAATGAATGCCTTCATAGAAGAAGTTTAGATAAGACATGATAACAGTAAACTGATAGCAGTTAGTGAATTAAGCCAGCACTTACTTCTCAATTATAGGACTGAAACAGTACCTAACCACCATACTTGACAAAAATGCAGCACATAGAATTTTGAAAAATAAGAAAATAGGATTGCAGAAAAAGGTAAACAGGAATTGTTCTCAGACATGTTACAATACAGGGTTTTAGTCCAGCCATGCAGCCATGAAGAGATAAGCCAAAGAAGACTTCTATCTGACAAAACCGTTTGAATTCACTCATGAGACTTGAGCCATACCAAATCCAACGCGCATGAACATAGATGAGCCCACCTCTCTCCTTCTATCTCTCTCTCTCTCTCTCTCTCTCTCATACTTCAAATTATCTGAATGTGGTGCTAAACCGTGACCTATACATCATAGAAGTGACTGAAATGCTCAATTTTTCAAACTTCTGCCTCCTTGCATTGAGACCACCAAAATTCAACAAAGAACATAAGGATGCTGATCTCTACTTCCTATGAGAATATTGAGCTTCAAATTCCCTCTGAAACTGCTCTCTGGATGTTCCTTTCGCTGTTAAGACGACATCATCAAGAAATCCTCTCTGCGGAAACTCCTCGGGCAAGAGGGCTTGATATATCTCGAACTGTTGTGCAGCTTCCTCCTTTTTATCCAGCAGACTGTATATAATGCCCTGCCACAATTATTCGTCTATTTGGTCATTACCGCAGACTTAATTCTTGTCACTTACATTTTGATCGCGCTAAAACTCCATAACCGAAAAAAGTAGACATTCCCCAGCTAACAACATAATGCCATTTTACAGGAGTGTTTGTTACAAGAACCAAATTCAAACTACAAGATGAGTTATTAGGTGCAGGAATAGGATAGATTTCATATTTAACACAACTCGGTGCAAGAGCCCTTAACACATGAAACACTAAAAAGCACAACTCTACTCTCACTTCATGCAGAGATCTAATATAATAATGAAAATTTGGCAGGCAAGAATCAGCCTTCGCTGTCAAGTCATGAAAGCTTAAACAATATGTTGAGGATTGACCTGCCCGAGATCCTAAGCTATAAATGTTAGTCAGGAGTAATTTTTCCTTTCATGGTTCCAATGGTTTGACAAAGTTATCAAAGTTAAAAAGAGGTAGGTCTAACCACTGGGATAAGAAAATCAACCAGTAAATACTGAAAAAGAATGTGAAAAACAAGGTTCAATGCAGAATGAACTGACAGGTTTCAGACGCATACAAAAGGAAAAACATCCTAGAACCCTTAAAGCCCCAAGGATCATTCTTATCCAAGAAGCATGTCAACAGCAATTCACAATAAGTCGATTTTGATTGACATTCCCTGCTGGCCATATAAAACTAAAAATTCACATCGATGAACCAATCCTGTGAAACTCAACCCTTCACTTAGATCTTTCTCTAGCTAGTTATCCTTACAAGTCTGCATCTTTTACATGGTATCAAATCCAGTGCAATTATTAATATGATGTTCTTTTCAAGCAAAATTCAAATAATAATAATAAATTAAAAAAAAAAGAGCCCTTCACACAAGTCTGAAAAAGAGATGCCTGAGATTTGACCAACATTTTAACTACTTAAAAAAAAAAATAAAAAAAAAACCTTTTTTAGGGAGAATTATAATGAGGTCCTAAGAAAGAAAAATAATTATAAAACAAAGTTGTTATTTTCTAATCTAGAACTTGTTATTACAAGCTACTTAAATTATTGGTAGGACTTTTTAGTAATTATTTTCCTTACTTAGGACCTTATTGTACTTCTTTCTACTTTTTAATACTCGTAGTTTGTACTACTAAACCCAAAGGTGAATGAAGCTAGATACTACCAAATGAATGAAAAATCAGCTGGTCGTTAGCAATTGTTTAGACAGCCTGAACAGACTAATTAGCCCATGGAATGCATACCCATCACAGCTATAAACAGACACATAGAGAACGTGTTTAAACGGGTTTCAGTTTGAACACAAGATAAGGAGTTTAAAATCTTGGGCATGACAATCTTATCCTCTCATAGGCTTTGCATTGGACTGGAAAAGAATTGGACTGCCAACCAGTAAACTAGACGTAAAGAACACAATTGCTTTTAGGATAGTTTAATATTTTTCGTATATGCTCTTGAATTATCCATACAAATTCCTTCCGCATTTGAACCAGATCAACTGACAACAGAAAGAAAACCTGCATACCAAGACAAACTTTGTCAGACAAACTCACCTGACAAAGATAAGGCCTGAAATCCCGAGGATCTTCATCAACCAGTTCTTGAAACCTTTTTAAACCCTCCTCCAAATCCCCCTGCAAAGCATACAAATAGTATTTTTATTAAACCATTACTCTAAAAGATGTAGTTAAAGTCTGTGCATGATTGTATTTTGGTGCCAGGAAAAGAGATTTATTTCCTAATATTGAACATAATCAAAACAGCCCCGCTACCAGCTGAGGACTTGAAAAATCAAATAACTGCTATAAATAAAAGTTCACCTTCACAACATGCATTTGTGCTATTAAGATTCTTATATTTCTCTCTTCTGTAACTCTTTTTTCACGGCATGCTGATTCTAAAGCCTCATTCAGCATTTCAAAGACAGCCGGACCTTCATGTTTTTTGTGCATCACAATAGCCAAACCCTGTGAAAAATTAACAAGTACCACTTGTTTTAACCATAACAAGAAAGCATCACAGACAGACTCAGAAGCATGCTGTAATCAAGTATGAAGATATGAGACATAAATATGCGGATGTTAAAAATGCCATCCAAGAAACATCTAACTATCTAGATTCAAAATATCTAATCACTGAACTGCAAGTTCTGCATGAACTGATAGCCTTTGTGCTATATTGGTTGAAGACCAATCATCTACAAGGTGAAGAAAGACTCAGGTGCACTTCTCACAATAAGTAAGAGAAATACAATCACCTTTTAAACTTTTAATTTCACCAAGTGCTAGTAATGTAATAACAGCCAACATTCAAACTAAAATCTAAAAATCTAATATGGTTATATTTCCAAAAACTCATCAATTCCATTGTGTTCAAAGATATGTATGAGTGTTAGCATATAAATGACGGCTAAAACGAAAATTTTGTACCTTTCAGCTTGGAAAATTGTCGAAAATTTTCAAAAATATTCAAAAGAGGGTGACAAATCTTACATGCAGAGCTCTGATCAAGAGAGGCCTCTGCTCCAAGATTTCCTTGAACAATCTTTTAGCCGTACTCAATTGCCCCATTGTCTCGTAACAAAATGCCAGCAAAAGCCGCCACTCAACCTCGTTCGGCTCTGCATCAATCAAACTCTCGACGTACTTCACAGCCTCCTTCGACTTCCCCATCCTTATTTTCTTAAACAAAATCACCTTCAGAGCCTCAACATTTCGCGGGTCCTTCTCCAGAATCTTCTCGTACATTTCCTCGTCCTCACTTTTCTCTTTCAAGGCGTCACTACCGTCCTCCAGAGCTACGCCTGAAGTGACAGAGGGCAGTGCTAAAGCCACTCTTCTGTTAAAGCACCCGATTAAGATAAACGACCCAACAAGAAAAAACACAAGCTTCTCCGACAAAAGTTTGAATAGGCTTGTTCGAACAGAGCGAGGAAAAGAAGTAATAGAGCATGCTGAAGAGGAACAAGCCAACTCTGCGCAAAGAGGAGAGGATTTGAAGGAGTTGCGAAATACGAGAGGTTGAATTGAAGTTAGCGTGGGTTTGGTGGGGCTATGAACCCATCGCTGTCGGAATGAATATCGGAGGCAATTGGCATTGAAGAGGAATTTAGAATCGAGCAGTTCTGCTTGGAAGAGAGAGAAAGTGGCGATTGAGTACATGTTTCCTACAAATAACACAGCACAGAGAAAACCAGGGCTCAGGGTTTAAGAAAATTAGCATAAAAATTAGCGTCCAACTAAATACCCTATATCATCTCCAGCTCCCTTTTGCCGTTACTTCCTTTCTGCATATGTTTCTCTCACCACCATTATGGCAATATTTCAAAAGCACCATTCTCCAGGTGAAGCGGAGTTGAAGGCAAAGAAAGGCAGGGGTGAGCAACCGAGCATCCTACCGTCGTAATTTCTTATTAATGCCCCAAAGGCCCAAACTCAACGCTGGTGTTGTCGTGTGGAAATAAATTCTCCCAAGAACCAACAAGTCTTGTTGCAAGTAGAAAAAATTTGAACACCTTAAATATTATATTATGAGTCCGATTATGAGTCCGATGATGTGTATAAAAAAAATACTATTAAGAGAGATCCCCGCTGCAACTCTTGACAGTATCCTGAAAAATAAGTCTCTTATCATTCAAGTAGGAGAATACTCTGGAACTCTGAGCAACCAAAAAAAATTCTCCCATGAATTTTCTTTGGATAATTCTAATATATTAAATGGTCTATTAGTGGTAATAAATTTAAGGGAAGGGTTAAGTTTTATTTTACAGTCTGAAATGGGTGCAATTTTATTCATAAAGTATTAAAGTGTGAAGCATTCAGGTCCCCCAAAAAAAAAAAAAACAAGTGTAAAGCAAAGTTAAGTGTTGATGACACCCTAGAAGATACAGGGTCTTGAACGAATCACAGTTAAAGAAAGGTACTGAACGGTGATCAGTGGCGGAGGTTGGCATTGGATTTTTCTTAGAAAAAGTTCATCAAGAGGATCGAATGGGTCATACACTTGGGGATAAAAAAATAACTCAACTCAAAATCTATAATTTTCCTTCTATCATTCATGTTAGTCACTTCAGTGATCAGAGGGAACAATGCAATTTCAAAAGAAATGGTTAAAAATATTTTTAAGAAATTAATGCTCATTCTAAATTATTAAATATGAATTTTATACACAATTCTTTGATATCTCAATTTTATACATAACTCCCTATCCTGCGATACTCTCCATTCTCCAACTTCACCTTCAAGGCTCGCTTTAGGAATAAAACATGATGAGAAGCAGAAAAAATGAAAATAATACTAAACGCAAAATAATAATCGAAAAAGTCTTGGTCAATTTGGTACATCTCTGGCCTCTCGTTAGACTGGAAAATAAAATCATTATTTTATTGATTTTTCTTTTGGAAAATATTAAGATGCGTGACTGAGAAGAATGCGTATTCAATGGACTTTGATTAATCCTCCGTCTGTGAGAAAATCCAGAGTTCCAGACGATGGGGTTAGCATATGAGATTACTCGCCCTAATCATGGAATGGGACGACAGGACTTAATGAAGCTTTATACAGTACATGGGCTCGAATCCAGCCTCCACAGAGTGGGAACCAAAAAAATGCCATAAAACTGAAGGGGAAAATTTCAAGGTTGATAACTCCAATTTCCAGTCATAACACCGGGAAGTTGAAATATTAAAGATGCAGAGATGTTAAATAACTCATCAACCGCCATTGCACTCCCAAATTGGTGTCTACTTATTGAAGAAGCGCGAATGCATTCATCATTATCCAAGTTATGTAAACAGAAGAAAGAAAGACAGGCCTTAGAGGAAGTTTCTGATGTCCAGGTTTTTGGCTTCCACCGCTTCCTCATCCTTGAATTCCTCCCTGGAATGGCAACATGACAAGTTAAAAATGAGTCTAGGATGGAAAAACAGGATTCATATTGCGAGTCCCTCAGTCCCTCCAACATCTCAAGTGGCCATGTCATATTTCAAATGTTTCAAATTCTTAAATCATTGAAGCCATTAAGCCCAGAGAAGGTATCATTCTATTATGCCACCCCCAAATGAGGCAGGCAATAAGATCATACATGTGATTTGCATCCCGAGACATCAAGGGAATAAATAAATAGCTAAACAAATAGTGAAATTTGTAATCAGCATTAACAAGACTGCAAGAGTACTACCTCTTCTTTTGAGTCTCCATTGCCTCTAGAGCATCTTTCTTCAGCTCCACTAGTTGTGCTTTGGCAACATCGAGTTCTAGCTTCTCCTCATGCTTTGGTAGATCTTCCTTCCGAATGCCAAGTCTATGTGATCGCCATCCCCCAAATTTGGGGTTGGGGGAAAAAAGAAAGAACAAGGTAAGGAAAGTAGTGAAACCTAGCCACTCAATCACATGAGGGTGTTTAAATTAGCTTTTCAAAAATGATTCTATAATGTATAAAGTAAGTATGTGAGAAGAATTTTGCTTCAACTTGCATGAAAGCAAGCACTTTTTTTAAGTGCTTTTAACTGTTACCAAACCACCACCACCCCCCCCAAAAAAAAAAAAAAAACTAGTTAAACAGTATTTGAAGTATTTGAACTAACAAGTAATTAGCTACCCAAAATCCAAACCACATGGCCGAAAATACAACAAAACAAAACTTAACTAAACAATGTGATAAATTGTCATAAGTTAGATTAAGCAGATAGACATCTTCCTTCTCATCAAAGAATCTAGATGTCACTTTAATCATTAGTCCAAAGTATCAAAATAATATAGGGGTCTCGCTCACTTTTTGTTCATCTTCTCGAACTCAGCCATGAGAAGACCCATTCCTTTCTTATCATCCCTCATCAGAGGTTTCTTCAGATCCTTTTCAACTTTGTCCAATGCTTCCATCATCATGGCCTCTGCACCCATATCATCTTTAATACCGCTCCTGCAAAAGAATATTAACATGACCAAATGATCTAACGTAATGAAAAATCTGCAAATAGTGAAGCGAACGAACTTGCTTCTCATGGCCTTGTGCCCGGAAATATATATCAGTATAAATATATATATTTACATAAAAAAATTCATGTGTACCCCAAAGTTTAACGTGGATATTAATTCCAAAAAATAGCCAACTTTTACAGAGCGACTGTAGATATTCAGGAGGACCATAAAAATTGGAATAAAGCAAGCTTTGGAAGCAGAGGATTTAGGGTTAAAAAAATGAGTTGTTTGCCGATTCAAAAGGGCATATTGAACAGAAAAATTTCATTTACACAGCACAAAAATCATACGCATCTTGGTTTTCAGGGAAAAAGAGAAACCAAATTAAGTAGGAAAAAAGCACACCAAAGTTAGATAATGGAAATGGTTAAAGAATAGACCATCACATACTTAATTCTTATTTCCTTCAAAGTCAAAAGATAAGTACGAGCATCAGGAATATCTTGTGTTTCTGTTTGAATTGTGTGTCTGATACGTTGAGCTTCAGTAAACGCGCTTACTCTGCACAATAAACAAGAGATTATAACCATGAAATAGTTCAAACATAGAAAAAAGACAACAAATTTTACAGGATTACTGCAAGAGCGAATAGAAACAAGATTTCAAAAAAAAAAAAAAAGACATTAAGGTAAAGCAGAAGCTCACTTCTCCCTTATTGTCCTCATGATCCTCGCGTAATGAGAAACTGCAGCTGGATCATCCGGATCAATAGTGATCTTCTCTTTCCTTAATATTCCAATCGCTGCTTCAAATTTTGTCTTCACCTCCGAAAAGGCATTCTTCAACATCTCTTTTGCATTCAATTAGAAGTACAATATCAGAAAATGATATGCCAAAAAAAAATTCATTAAACTTCACACTCAGACTGCATAACCGTTTTTTATCTAAAGTTAACTCAAATTGCACCTGTACAATTGAAAGCTAACTAAAACTACCGGATCAAATAAATGAGCAGATTACATTATTACATTCAGATCACAATTCAGCAAGATTTATCATTTATGCTGCAGAAAATGGAGTCAGTTAGGGACCCATACCAGCACCAGCATATGCTTGGATGCTGATCCCAAAATTTACTTACTAGGGATGACTCTAAATTTGTGATGAAGGGACAAATAAGACAAGTATACTCAAGATTACTCACGATCTCCCTTCAATGCAGGAGAACCGGAATCTTTGGCAAAGTGACGGACCAGGATGGTGTGCTCCTTTTGTACAAGTATTTGACTAGCACAAACCTATAAGAAGAGAAGAAAAATGGACCCATTACCAACCAAAAAAAAAAAATGATCAGCGAGATTTCCATAATTATCGTCATGCCAAAAGAAATGAGCAGAAAGTGCACATAGGAAAACCGATCCCTTACAAATTCTTAAGAAACCAACCAGTGTGCCAAGCGTCAATTGTCAGATGGGTGTTGGGTAAAAACAAAGGAATGAAAAAAGTTCTTTTCTCATAATTAGTTATAAGAAATTTTAAGCGGAACACATACCCTAGTCATACCAATTTCTTTCATTTGTACATATTCTATTCAATAAGATCTGTAATTACTAAGCTCCAAAACTTTTTGGGGTTTGAAGGATAGCCTTAATGCATTTCCAGCGATGAAGATGATCAGGAATCATAGGGTCACTAAGTTATATGCTTCTTCGAGCTCCACCCAAGCACGCCATTTAAATGTTAGAAAGGATAAGACAAATTGGCCAACACCCTCCCAGAATAAAGGCATTGAAATGTCAATATATATATATTCTTAACCATCGCTAAAGCTAGTCAATACCTAGAGAGAACTCTCGCTTTTTACCATTTTTTTCAGTGATCGAATAGAGCTTCAAATGCTCTTAGGCTGCCATTAACTAGTTTTTCCAGCCACCACCTCATCCTGACATCTATCGTCATTTTGCATTCCAGAAATGGCTTCACCAAAAATTCTTGGTAACTAGAAGACACAACCGCGTTACCCTTGCTACATTCAGCTAAATCCAGAACTCCATAGCTATGCAGATCCCGACAACCAATCAATTAGGATCAGAAGTTTATTAAACATGAAATGCAGAATATTGCACCGATCATTTAATTAGAAAAATAATCACTTTATGACAGCAATTTCTCTGTTTACTTTTCGCCGAGAATGACTCGAAAATGTAAAGCGAAATTAAGATCGAAAGTAATTCAGACGAGAAATAGGCCAATCGCTCACCAGTTTGGATTTGTTAACGAGACGAGAAGCGAGAGCCATGGTCAGACTTCAGTGTTTCTTCAGCCTCTGTTGGCTTTAGGGCTTCTTGCAATCTGGTTTGCGAAGACAGGCCTCTCGTTCTCTTAACCTGCGATGAAACGCTTGCTAGTTACCCCATGGAACAGCGCTTTCCTGATGAGTAGGCCCGCGTTATATTTCAGC